GCTGTGATTCTTACAGAGTAATACACAGAAAATAACCTGTAATTAGTACTACTCCAGGAAGATATGTAGGCAATTTAAAGTTTGCAACTCGCTAATAGTATAAGCAAACAAAAATACAAATTATTTTCAAGCACTTTGGAAATAACTTAACCAAGAAGATCTGCTTTCAATTAACATGTCAATTAAAATTATTCTTATCTTCTCATTAAATGAGGAAAATGCACCTGTCCATGGCACTAAAAAACAGTAAAACTGCACTTACAATGTGTCAGGTTTATAAGTGGAGCTCCTCCGTAATTTAAAAATGACTCCTTTCTGTTTTCAAACAACAGGCTTAATGACTTTGGTTGGGTGCAATGCCTGATCCTATTGCAATCATGCTGTTTTCTTGGAAGAAGGATGGGGGAACAGCCACCCCAGTCACCTGAAGTGTTAGAGTGCCAAGGATGTAAGCACAGTGTAACCACGGGGTAGGCTGACCCAGCCCTGGATGTTCACCTAAGGGACATGAAGGGTGCACATTCAGGCAGAGGTTTGGAGGGGAATGTTCACAGTGCTTTTCTTTGTAAAAATCCCCACCAAGAAGCAACCCAAGCATCCATCAGTAAGTAAATGACATAGTCATCAGATGGAAGGCTGCTTCACCACTGAAAGGAACAGCTATGGGTAAATATTGCAACATGGGTAATAACTCTCCAAATAATTACTTGTTGAATGAAACAAGTCAGACAAAAATTAATATATACTGCACGACTCCATGTTAATTTTAGAGAATGGGATCTACATTACAGGAATCAAACGAATGATTGCCTAGGGACAGGATGGGGGTATGACAAGTGGAGGTGAGAATACTTGTGGGGTTGATGGGTATGATCACTATCCTGAAGTAGGTGATGGTTTCCTAGTAAGCCAAAATTCATACGTGTGTCATACATACGATGCTCACATATGCCAAAACTCATCAAAATGGTGTGTTTTAAATATAATCAATTGTAAGTAAATTATACTTTAATGCAACTATGCTTCAATAAATGAGTCACAGAGAGGAAAAAAAAGGGGAGGATGGGAGGCTGAACTTCAGGAAACTGACAGAACAGGCCATGGCTGAAGGGGTGAACACTCTAAAGAAGCGTTGTCTTGGAAAACCACAGAGAAAATGCAGTGAAACATATCCCACAGGTAGGAAAGGCAGGACACTGAGGCTCAGGGCTCCCCAGGTCCCCTGACCGACAGTCCAGCGAGGCCCTGGTGTAGATGGAAGCGTGATGCAGGGAAATCCAAAGTCTTGGAGAAGCAGAAGAAAAGAGAAACGGCTTTTTGGGGCCTGACCTCTAGAAGAGGAAATGGAACACTGTTCCCCAGGGTGGTCCAAGCCAGTTCAGCAGAGTGGTAAGCAAAGAGGTCTGACATGAGAAAGACACAGCATCACAGACTGGAGGGACACCAAGGAGCAGAGCCACCCAAAGGTAGGAAGTGTGTCTGGCAGGAGTTCCGGTTGGTGGGTAGAACCCCTCACTCACTCTGCCTGAGCCAAGCACTTGTGTCAAGCGCAGTGTGAGTTACTGTGACCAACCGAGACTTGCTGTTCTGTGGCCACAGACCTGGCACAGAGTCCCTGGAAAAGGCAACAGTGATTGGAGAACCCAAAGTGTGTCCTTCAGAGCTCCTCAGACCACTCAATATTCCAGGAGCACCCAGGCCCCAAGGGGGAGGAGAGGTTGCTCACAGCTATTTAATGTTTTATCTCACCTATACACAGTGTATTCTCCAGGCTGCCCCTAAGTCTTGCCAGGATGAAGTCCCCACAGCAGCTGGCACATGCTTGAGACTTCAGTGTTCATGTGAAGTGTGACACTGCAGCCAAGAAGAAGAGCAGGCCCTGTATGCTGTAGGACTCAGCATCATGCCATGGAAACAAAACAAACATGCCTGGAGGAGAGATGGTCACAGAATTGTATTCATGTCCATGGCTTGTCTCCTTGTCACCTAGGAGGTGCAAGAGGAACCTTGTCATCAGGAAATCTTTGAAGTTATTTCAGGGAAGAGCGTGCTCCAACCTCTCCTCTTGTTTCAAGTTATTTTAACGTTAAGTGAAGGGAAACACAGGTTCATGTGTCAGAAGCAGGTCAAACCCCCTTCCATAGGTTTCTCACTGGGTTTTTAGGCAAATCACTTAACTCTTGTGGGCCTCGATTTTCTCAACAATCACACAAAAGGACCGGACTAAATCAGGGATGTGTATATTTTTATAATACTGCCTCCCTTCTTTGCTTCTCTTCCTTTCCTTCTTTCCTGGGACAAGAAAAAAAATCTACCTACTTCCCAGGCACTAGGATATACCAATTAACCAGACAAGATCTTGGCATTTCCCCTTGATTTCAGAAAGGCCACAAATAATAGAGAATGACATGCGTTCACACCAGGGGCTGCTAAGCACTAGGATGATGATACAAGGGGGGCGGGAGGAGAAGAGGGACTGCTGGAACTTTGCCGGGGCAGAAGCAGCCTCTCTTGAGAGGTGAGCAAAGTCTGCAGGATGAGTAGGAATTAGCTACTACCAGTTCACTTAACAGCAGGGGCAAAAGCCTTAAGGTGGGAGGACGCCTACTTGGTAAAACAAAAAACAAACAAACAAAAAAGAAAACAAACTCCATCTTTGTCATCTTCTATCCCTCCTCCTGGCCTGCATTACTGATATCTAAACATTTTAAAGAACAGCAAAAATATCATTTGACTTGAGCAACGCCTTCAGGACAGGCCCTCCTTGTACACAGCTCCTCTGCCACTCTCAGACGTGTCCCTGTCATAACGTTCTCACTGTTCCTAGGCAGCACTGAACAGGCATGCTCTCTAACAGCAACCTGTAGTGAGAGAGCTCACACTGAGACCCAAGCCAAGGAGGGAAGTATCACAGTCCCCTTAGAATGCTCCATCTGTCAACTCGATCTGATCGTGTCACATTCAGAACTACACCAAGCTACTACCTGTGACTACCCTGTAGACACTACAGCAATGCGACACCTCTCCTCTTTTAGATGCTAAGGTGATGTCACAGGTACCTTAAGAGCCTGAAGCACACTCTAAACCAGCATAAACTAGCAAAGTTGGCTGATAACCTCCTCCCCACCCCCTTCTCTGTAAACATACATGCTTTAAAGCTATAGAACCTACATTTCTCAGTGTGGCTGGCAGAAGAAATGTCCAGAGAGGACCTGGTGGGGGTGGGGAGTGGGGGAGATTGGAGGAAGAGATCCAAATGTACAAATGGCTTCCTACACGAAAAGCACCTTTGTTTTCAAAGGTTGACCCAAAAGGAAGCAGTTACATTCTTAACTAAATGCAAGAGGGGTGTGTGTGTGTGTCCAGGCCTGTGGTGAGGGGGCAGGCGGGGGCCCTAGCAAGGGAAATCATTACCTTTAAGTTCTGGAAGGGAGGCAGCCTGCAATCCCTCCTCCCCCTTGTCAGAATCAGAGTGGCCCAGTGACACAGGCGTGACTGCACAACCACACCTGCACAGCGCCCAACAGCCCAGCACTCACCCACATTTCCTCCCCTAACTTTTGAATAATGCAGCTCATTGTCACCACCAAATCCTAACTTTGCACAAACTTGTACGCGCAATTACTGCATTTTCCTGGAATGTGGAAATGCTGTGCAGGAGGAAATCAACCTATTTGCTCATTCTCAGTCATGTGTCAAGTCCAGAGAGTTTAATGAGGTATTTTTCTCAGGCAGTAAACAGGAAAAGGATGTCTGCTATTGCAAGGTACAACAGACTGTAAGGGCTGTAATGGAAAGATGCTGTGTCTGTCCGTGACCATGGTAAAGTGTTTAAAAGGGTGCGTTAACAAGCAGTATCTCGAGGAACACTAACCAGTGAGCTCGCCAGCCAAGAGCTCTCGGAGGGAAACCCAGCCAACCGCTGTAAGCTGCAGTGCTCATCTTCACCCCAAGTCAGAAGTGCACACCCCAATTTCCAGTAGCCCCAGGACCCTGGGGCAGAAAAATTACACCTGCAAGCCATGTGCCTTCCCACACTGCCACACAGCTGTCCCACGCCCAGAGCAGCTCATTCACACTGCCCTCCTCGGCCCCATTTAGGAACATCACTAACAATTTCAAATCACAACTGTTGCTTTATCTCCAAACAGTGATAAATGGGGGAGCTACATTGGTGACGCTTTTTCTTTTAAGTCATTTATCTGCTTTCTTCTCAGGGGCAAAAAAAAAAAAAAAAAAAAAAAGTGAAAACAAGTGTGAACCTGCCAGGGCTGCTTCTCATTAGGGATGCAGCCCTGGGTCCCTCTCTCCCTCCCTCCGGGTCTGGCTTTCCCTAGCTGAGGCTGTAGCCTCCGGTAAGAAACTGTAAGTGGCCCCGTTATCAAAACTAGGAGGGAAGCACCCGAAAGGGAGTGAGTCAGACAACAGAAGCAGGAACCCCTCCCTCATCCTGGCAGTTCAATTCAGCCAGTTCCCCTGGGGTCAACAATAGCTCTGGTTCAGCAGGAAAGAAAAGTCGTAAGGGAGGGCGGTGGACAAGCCTCAGCGCCAGAGTGGAAGTGCGAGCAGGCAGACTGCGTGCGTGTGCACAGGGACAGCCTAGCAATGGGCGACACGCTGGTGGCAACGAAGGGAAAGCCACCACAATTGAAAAAGCCACAACTATTACGATTGGAAATATCCCTCTTCCCACCCCCGCCGGCACGGGCTTCCGTGCCAAAATCTCCCCGGATTTATTTTCAGGCAAGTGACTCACAACCTCGTCTCCCTAAGTAATTCCAGCCAAATGAGTCGCTGCTTCCACCAGCCCGACTTTCTGCTGCCCTCTGGCTGTCCCTCCCTCCTCCCCGCCCATCCAGCAGAGCCAGACGGCTCCCAGACCCAGCAAGTGTACCCCAGAGGCGCAGGAGGCAGGCTTCCCGCCCTCCCTCCGGAAGGGATGAATGGGGCCGCGAGCTGCGCGCGAACGCGCGCGTGGGCACGCACCCCGGCCAACTTACGGAGGTGGAGTTGGTCCTCGCCTGGCCCTGGTTCCGCACCTCCTGCTCCCGGAACTGCAGCCCCGCCAGATGCTTCTCCAGCGCCTCCCAGTCCATAGGGGGTGCCGGGGGCTCTTCGGGAACGCACGTCCCGCAGTCTGGGGGCTGGACGCAGAGCCCCCCAGCCGCCGGGCCCCGGCCGCCGCGCCGGCCTCCTGCCGGCTGGGGCTTCTGGATCGCCCGGCGGGGAGCCCGGGAGCCGCTCAACCGACTGGCCACCACCACATTGCCATTGTGCCTGAGGTCCTGGGGGTCGTGCGCGTGGAGGTTGCCGTTGGGCATCGGGGGCGGCATGGCAGTGGTGGCGCTCCTGCCCCTGCAGCCGCCGCCGATCCTGGCGCTCACGTCCCCCGGCTCCCGAGCCGGACAGCGGTCATCCCGGTACCTTCGCTCGTCTTCCTCTTCCTCCTCCTCCCCGTCCTCCTCCGGCGCCCACTCATCAATCACCTTCTTCTGGTAGACCGGAAAGGGCTCCTCATAGTCCTCCAGGGCAGACACCAAGTCCAGGCTGCCCCCCGGCGACGGCGAGGATTTGCACTCGGAGCAAGGGGTCACTTTGGTGGAGTTGGACTGTGAACTGGCGCGGCTACTGCTGCTGCTGCTGCTGCTGCTGCTGCCGGCGTCGCTGCCTAGATCCATCCCATCCTCTCGGTAATCCTAAGGGGAAGGAGGCAGAGGGTGAGCCGCCAGGCCGAGTCTGCTCCGGCCACCCGCCGCGAACGCCCCGGCCCCGCGCCCCACGGCCGCCCGCTCCCAAGTGCGTCCACCGGGGAGGCCTAGAGGCAGGATCCCGCACCACCCGGAGGCGTCCTTGCTGTCTGGCCTTCCTCTGCGGGAAACTAACCCTCAAATTAGCAAAGGGGAGCCCAGTCACCGGCGCGCACACTTTTCATACGCGGAGCTCCGGCGCGCGCGCGGACTTTGTTTTAACCATTTTGCACCGGGCGCGCCCCTGCTGCCCGCCCCGAGTGCTCTCCGAGAACAGACACTTTGCCGGAGAATCTCGATTCCCGGGGGGATAGGGTGGGGGCTACGAATTTCGCCTCTGGCTCCGGGCTCCGCGCCCACCCCCACCTGGCCCCGCCCCGCCCCGCCCGGCGGCCGCGGGAGCCGGCTCTGCCCGCTTTACTTTGCAAGGAGCCGCTAGCCCCGGCGCGCTCCCGCCCGCCTCCGCGGCCCGCCGCCGGTCCCGCCTCCTGCCCGGCCCGGAGGTGTGCGGACTCGCGTGGCCGCCGCCGCCCTGGGGAAGGGAGGACGCGCCCGCCGAGCAGCCGAGCCGGTCCCGCCACCGAGCATGCCCAGAGGCTGCCGGGCGCGGCGCAGCCCGCTCCAGGGTTTCACGGCGGCCGGCTGGAGGTTGGAGAGGCGGGGGAAGGCCGGACGGTAGGGGGCCGGGTCGTGGGCGGCGTAGACGAGGAGGCCACTTAGCCGGGGCTGTCTCCTGGGGAGGTGATGCATTTCCACTCCAGACACTTGCATTTCCCGGCCGCGCCTCAAGGCCTCTCTACGGGACTCGTTACCGGGCAGCCGCTCCTGGAACTCCGCAGCACGGGGCCCCGGCGCCTCCTAACGCACGGGCCCTCCCGGAGTAACCGCGTCAAGGGCGCTCCGCCGCCGGTCACCTACACACCTTAGGCGGGAGCCCGGGTGACGTGGGCTCCAGGGTCATGCACCATCATTGCCCTCATTTCCCTTCCCCTGAACTCGCCGCTTCCTCCTCCGCCGCCGCCCGGCTCCAGTCGCCTCGCCGATGAGCAGCCTGCAAGTTTACACTGTAGTGTGGGTGGGACCTGTTGCTGTAGGTTTCCGCTCTGCCCTCTGGGAGGTTCCGGGAGGTTCTGCTCTCCAGGTGTGCGAAGGAGCTAATGGGCTGGGCGATGGGGGCCGCAAAGCGGGCAGAACTGATAGAGGGAAGGGGAGAGGTGTATACGCCCTTGTCCTTGGCAGAATCCTTCGGCTTTCCTACTTTTAGGTCTTTTTTTCTGGAAACTGAGTCAAAGGATTCTGTTCCCGGCTTGCCTGAGTTTGCATGAAGTGGAAAGATCCCAAGGCTGGGGAAACCTAAGATGGGTCCACAGGATTACCTTGTAAAGATGAAGCAATTCCTGGGAGTAGGTGCTTCCAGCTGTAAGAACTAGAAAATGCCCTCCTCTCTGGTGGTTATACTGACTCTACAGTGAACTGAGGAAAGCGTTCATGTGATATCGCGATTGGGCCTGGTAGGAATTCTCCCCAGGCAGTTGTAGCCTGGACCAAGCTGCTCCCCGAGCTTGGCACACTGCAGATGGAGCAGGGCAAATACTTGGGATTGCTCAGTAGGGAGTGGCTGCCACTCTGACAATTCCTTTAGGCCTGCTTAGGGACTCGGTGCGGAGATCTGTTGTTTAAGTAATCCCTGTGAGGCTGGGGCCTGAGCCAGGGCTACCTTGAGACAGCCCTTCACCTGTCTGCAAGCGGCAGTCTTACGAATAATAGGAAAAGAGGGCCGGGGCTGGCCAGCTGTAAAACTGGACCCGTGGTGACTTGAAATGTTGTTTATGGTAACATCTGCAAACAGCTTGCATCATCTCCAAATGTGGCTTGGCTCTTCGCTCATGCCGGAGCCCTGGCTGCCACTTTGGGTGGGGGAGTGGCCCGGGGTGGGGGTGGCAGGTGGCGGTGGCAGGGGTGTGTATGCTGGGTCTGATGTGGACGGTGACTTTCAAAGCTTAGGCCAGAAGCAGCTCCCTGCTCTGGGCAGGACCCAGGCAGCCGAGGAGCGAAGGGGGAGCCTTAGTCCCAATTCAACTTTCCAACAGGAGCCACCCAGATTCCCTCCTGGGCTCCTGCTTATTCCCCTGTGGTCCAGATGGTCCGTGCTCAGGAAATGCAAAAGAAGGCCTAAGAAAAAACACTTGGCAGGGTAAACCCACTTCCAAAAATGCACAGCATTTCAAAGCCAGCTATAAAAATCTTTGAGTTATCTGTACTTTTATTTTCTGACCAGATATGCTGCATTAGATAAGAAAGTACCAGGCTTCCCTCTCCTTTCCCCTCTGTCTGCAAGGTGCTTGGCTAGCCCAACGTTCACCCTGCCGTCTGCTGCCAGGAACCCTCCCACTCTGAAGAACAGAAAGCTCCGCCAACAGAAAGGCCAGCGACAGTCCGCAGAGAGATCCAGTGGAATGGAGGGAGGACTTACAAACTGACTGAAAGCTTCTGTCTTTCTCTTTACAGGAATGGGTCAAGTCAGGGGATTGGAACTTACAGACTTAAACTAGGATTTGAATGGGAACCCAAGTAGACATTTAAATCCCAAAGCCGTAAGTCAGTTATAACAGAAGGGGACGAGGGGGGACTAGGAGCAATCTTCAGGACATTGGAGTGTATCCTTGGAAGGCAGTTCTCCCGAGTGGAGCTCAGCCTCTCTGCCTCGTGCCTGCTTTCTGGCTGGCTCTGTGGTCCTTCTGCACAAGCCCCGCCCTACCATCCACCGTCCTCATCAGAAACCACCTGATCTTGGCCTGTGATCCCCCAGAATCATGAACCAAAATAAATCTCTGCCTTCATCAGTAGCTGATCTTGGATGCTTTGCTGTGATAGTTTATTACTATGGTAAGTGTATTTATTCAAATGGCAGACAGAGGAAACACACAGGGAGAATCTGGTTTACTCCCCTCTTGGTTACAACAAGCAGAGAGCCAAGAACTCTGTCTGGGTCTCCTATGCAGGTGGCAGGAGACCAAGCATTTGAGCCATCCAGAGGATGCTGGAGTGTCGAATGGTGGCGCAGGCCACTGCACCCCAAAGCCAGCCCCTTGTTGTAATACCTTAGGGCTAACCACTGTAGCCTCTGGAAACCTTTGGAAAGTAGATTTCAGAAGTATGGGACAAGTGGCAGTCACCCCAGAACTCCCCTGTTCCACCACCTATCAACCACTAAACACCAGGTTCCCACTTAAATACTGCCCTAACTCCAGTCTAGGCCATAGCATCCTGCAATCACTAATCTCCCAACCAATCCCTGCCTATTCTCTTGTTGTCTGGGTGGCCTTACAAAAATGTGAGTATAGCCAACTTTCTCCCTTGCTTCATCAGCCCCTCCCTAACTGGCCTTAAAGAATCTGCTTCCTGTGGCCACCCCCCAGCTTGTTTTGGCTCAGCTGAAGCTCTGTTCCTGACCAACTGGGTCAGGCAAGCTTCCCGTGTGCACATGACACTCGCTGTACTGTGCTGAGGCTGCTGCTTCATTGCTTCTGTTCCCTCCTAGATGCCTAGAAATCTATCTTATCTCAGACTCTGGTCACACATACATCATGCAAATATATGTAACCGGAAAAAGAAAGAAATGGTGTATAGAACTCTTTTTTTTTTTTTTTTTGTAACATCCTGTTCTAATTCATTTAAAACAAACAGATATGGGGCTGGGCCTTTGATGCAATAAGAGACCACTGGGACACCTGCATCCCGCATTAGAGTACCCAGGTTGGAGTTCTGGCCCTGCTTCCAGTTCCAACTTTCAGCAGCTCATAGTTCAAGTATTTAGTTTCTGCCACCAAGTGGGAAACCCGATGGAATCCCCAGCTCCTAAATGTATTCTGGAGCAGCCTTGGCTGTTGCAGGCAGCTAGAAAGTGGATGGGAGATCTCTCTCTCTCTCTGCCTTGCAAATAACATGAAAATGATAAAAATTTAAACAGAATGAAATCTGGTCACACCTAACAACACTGACTTCAGAATCCTTAAATGGGGCCATGTAAGTCAGGAGCCACTTCCCTGTTGTTCATAGTAACTGGAATGAAATAGAAGCTTTGTCACTATTCCTTGCTGGAATTAATTATATCTAGCTTATCTAATCTTCAGGAACCTTCTATATCTCCATTTACAGGTAAGAAGACTGAGGACACAGGGGGCGGAGGAGGTTAAGTAATTTACCAAATGTCAAAAAGCTGGAAGAACTAGGTGGCAGAGCAGGGACTTGAACCTGGATACCTTGGGCTCAGAAGTCACACAGCCAAAAAACTCAGTATCCCTTGATCCTACTGTGCATGGATGGGTTGCCAAGAAAAAAATGTCAGAGCATGTCTCCTTGTGGCAGCCTCACACTGGATGCCAGTCTCCTGGTCTGTCCAGGCTCTTGGTGTGGTGTTTGTGTCTGCAGAGGAGAAGGCAGCTGGCATGAGCAGCTGCCCTCCTTTGCCCACAAATGCTCGACCTGCTCAACTACCGCCCAGGTCAGCAACTGGGGAGATGACGTGGTATAAAGGAAGGGTATGGACACATCAGGAAGTGATGCTTTTAGAAGCCCCCAAAAATCCTTTAGGAAGGAAGCCACTGTGAGATTGGGGTATGCATTTTCTCATCCATAGGAAACTGTCTGGATTAATATCTAAGGATAGGAAAAGAAGATTGCTTTCCTTGGGGGTCGGTGCTAGTTACAGATGTTCATCTGTAAAGTTAGCATTTGAAGAAGGATATGATTGAAATCTTTGAGCCATAAAGAGTATAAAAAGGTTTACTTGCAAAATATCCCAAACTAATTCTGAGATTATTAGCCCTGACACTGCACCATCTTTCTATTGTGACATTTAGGGTAATAAAGCCATGGCTGGCAGAAGGTTTGTATTTCATCTTTATGGCATGAATTACATGCAAGTCACATGCAGGACACAGATGCTT